TATATATATATATATATATATATATAAATTTTTTTATCCCCCCCCCCCATTTTCTTTAAACCTATATTATTATTATTGAGTTCGCGTAACATACAATGCTTAATTTTTTATTATTAAAACAAAAGAGTAACCAGTAATATTCCTCTTCTTACCTCTTCCCACAGTACGTCAACAAACAAATAAAAATGTGCGCTGGTTGAGGCATATTCAACAAGGAGCAACTGTGCTGCTGCACAAACCTCATCAATATCTCTATTCTGTTCCACTTGCAGACTGCACCATAAGCTCATCAAGTCCTAGGAAAACATTATCAAGCAGATTTTTATAGATAAACAAAGAAACAGTTGTAAAATAAATAAGAAACTTAAAGAGCATGAAAAGTAGTGTCCTTTCTTTTAAAAAACATCTAGAAAACACCTTCATACTTATAATTTAGATTTTAAAATGGTAAGTTGGAGATAGGATTCAAACAGGATATGCAGAATAAACAATAACTCTCCAATATCAAACTGCTAACAGAAATTTATGGAAACCAAATGAGAAGACTACTGGTCAATGTAGAAGAATACGAGTAGGCCCATTTAGGATATTACATTTCTAAATAATAATTATAATAAAAAAAATCACAAATAACTGATTGTGAAGGATACATCAGTTCCATCGGTATCTGACAGTTTATAAAATGATCTTTGAAATGTTTACATCAAAGCTTCGAAAAGTTTGATGTAACATTAGTAAAAAAACTTCAAGTATTCCCAGTCTGTTTAAAACATGATTTGGTTCTGAATTTTTCTTAGTTTTATAAAAAGCTTTAAATTGTGTAACATTCTATTATTATTTTTAATAAATTATTAAAACTACTGTTTAATTTGATATACACTACAAAAATATGCCCTCACAAGAAAAATCAAAATTAACAAAAAACCATTATTTAGAAATTACAAAACACAGTATTAGATGTTGGAGCTATTCATAAGTATTGACTTTTTGCAGATTTTAAGTTGCAAGAATTAAAAATTATGCTTTTCAGAACTCATCTGAACCATAACTCAAATACACTCTACTGCCCAAAGTATTGAGATGGCACACTTTTAACAGGTTGTGATTTTTTTTTCACTGGAGCCCCATCTCACTATTACCATTATTTACAACTTGGATTCTGTTATTACCAAACATTGATATACATATGATGAAACAGACCACCACTCCTGTTGCATAGACATAAGTGTAGAGAGATTTCTATGTCTATTCTTCTTGCCATTTCCAAAGTGTTCCAGAGTCATTCAACTGGATTCAAGTTGGGTACCACATATTCTAGAGGTTTATTATATTAAAGCATGTTTTAAAGATAGATACATCATTATGATGAAAGGGATAAGATCCTTCACCATAGAGTTCCAGGAAGACAGGCAGTTTACTAATGTCCAGAATGCCACAATGTGACAAAGCATTCATAGCTCCTTTTAAGTACTACCAGTAAACCAAGTTAAATATACCAAAAATAGCCCAAACCATGATAATATTGTACTTCTCTTATTGGTTGCTTGGGGTAACAAAATTGTATTCAAAGCATTCTTCATGTTGCCTTAAAATCAGGACCAATCCAGCTGAAGCAAACAGTGAATTGTAGAATTCATACCCTCACATAATGTTTTTTTTTTCCTGTTCCTCAACATAACATCAAGATTCAAGGCACCAGGAAAACCAAGGTCTTGCATTCACAACTTTGTTGGGAAGCTTCTCTATGAAATTCAGTAACACATGGAGCTGCATCTACATCACGGATGTTCTAGTATGCAGTCATAAACTCTGACTGAAGTACTCAATGATGGATTTAACGTTAACAAAATGTACTAAAGTTAATATTTTCCTACACTGAAAATGTATTTCCAATAGATACTTACCTAGATACAAAATAGATACAAAAAAATACCATGAGGTGTGGAACCAAAAGAGAAAACATAAATGGCAGAAAAACATGAATGAATCCCATAATACATATTACCTATTAATGGTGTCGACTGGTTAGGGTGCAACAGACATTAGTGGTAGTGTGACCTCATCTAACACCTGGCAGCATCTGTAATTGTACATTAGTTCCTCAGTAGGCAGAGAATAACCTACCTCTTCACCTCGAAATGAGAATTGGAGGAGAAGACGAGCTTTTGTACCACAATCTGTCTCCACTTGCACACATTTTCAACCCAACCAACACCTAATCCACCAACCCAAATACAGCAGATCATAGGATGCCCTACCATAAACAAGTGGAAATACGTGTTGAGTCTAGCTAGAACCAATACTAGATCTGCCAGAAATGGACATTCAGCAGATGGTAGGGAGAAGGACCACAAACTTGGGGTGCATCTCCAATTGTACATCAGGTCCTTAGTAGGAAGGGTGTCACGCCATCAACACATGATTCTAATTGTGACCAAGAATCATAGAATTCATACCCTCACATAATGTTTTTTTTTTCCTGTTCCTCAACATAACTTCAAGATTCAAGGCACCAGGAAAACCAAGGTCTTGCATTCACAACTTTGTTGGGAAGCTTCTCTATGAAATTCAGTAACACATGGAGCTGCATCTACATCACGGATGTTCTAGTATGCAGTCATAAACTCTGACTGAAGTACTTAATGATGGATTTAACGTTAACAAAATGTACTAAAGTTAATATTTTCCTACATTGAAAATGTATTTCCAATAGATACTTACCTCCATTCACAAAATAGCATCTCTCGATTAGTACTACCTTCTATCCAGGTAAATTTTCCATGCTCACCACTATACTTCTCCACTTCTGCATATCCACATGTAAATTATTATGCAGCAGCTCTCCACCAATAGGAGTACGACATAACCCCTATTGTAACCAGTGCCCTTTCCACATTTGCACTTTTAATCACTTCAAGATTGGTCGTAGAACTTACACCACATATCACCAGAAGTGGAGAGGCTGGGTGGAAAATGTTAACTTGTGATACAATATCTTATCTCCACTCACAAAATATCTAGAATCCCACATTGAACTGGTGGAGGATCAGTGAAAAAATGATCCCGCTTTAGGAAGTGCCCAAAAAGATACCATGAGGTGTGGAACCAAAAGAGAAAACATAAATGGCAGAAAAACATGAATGAATCCCATAATACATATTACCTATTAATGGGACCCTGGGTGTTGACTGGTTAGGGTGCAACAGACCATAGTGGTAGTTTGACCTCATCTAACACCTGGCAGCATCTGTAATTGTACATTAGTTCCTCAGTAGGCAGAGAATAACCTACCTCTTCACCTCGAAATGAGAATTGGAGGAGAAGACGAGCTTTTGTACCACAATCTGTCTGCACTTGCACACATTTTCAACCCAACCAACACCTAATCCACCAACCCAAATCCAGCAGATCATAGGATGCCCTACCATAAACAATTGGAAATACGTGTTGAGTCTAGCTAGAACCAATACTAGATCTGCCAGAAATGGACATTTAGCAGATGGTAGGAAGAAGGACCACAAACTTGGGATGGATCTCCAATTGTACATCAGGTCCTTAGTAGAAAGGGTGTCACACCATCAACACATGACTCTAATTGTGACCAAGCCATCTCCAACCAACACCAAACCCACCAGGAAAGTACACCTGGAGGATGGTAGGAAGGAGAAATGCCATCATGGGAAAAATTAATCTATCATATATATATATTAATATGGCCTAGTGCTACAACCAAAACCTGGTGGCATCTGGAATTGTGCATCACGTCTGAGGTAGAAAGCATGATACATCATCGACACCACAGAATGCCACTGCCCTATTGTCAAATGAGTGGTATGATGCATCACTCAGGAGGACAGGCCTCCATAGTCCAACATCCCAGCAACTAGGAACTGGTAAGTGGCAAGGACTCTCATACTCCACTAGAAGAAAGGAGGGAAAAACACACTGGAGCGTCCAGAGGACTGCATCACTGGAGACAATGCAAAGGGCAACAATACCCTATTTTGAAAAGCAGAGCTACCAACACCTGTAGCAATCCTCACAATTGTCCATGAGTGTATGGTCTGGGATGAACATACTTATGAATCAAAATACCACTAGAGAGCACCACTAGTGGTAGTACAGAATACCCCACCTCTACAGTGTGCGTAATCTAATCCTGCAACATAACTGGTTCAGCATAGATAACAATTGAACAGATGCACACAACCAACACCTGGCATCATCTGGAATTGTACATCAGGTCCATGGTATGAGAGCTACAACATAATTGATAACAAGCATGGTCACAGGATGGACAGTGCAGATTTTCCATAAAAAATCTACCTGGTCAGGCACCACTTGCCACAGAGTGGGATCCAAAATACATTAACAAAAAGGCCCCTATAAATAAAAAAATAATGACAACATAGTACTCACCAGTCAATAATGACAAGGTGGTGTGGTGACTAGAGGTAAACAAAAACCTGTTGAGCAAGAAATGGCCACATAATGTAAATAATGTGAAACAAAGGCATGAGGTGTAGTCCACATACCAGCCCCAATGATGACCTCCAAAGGTAGACAGAAATAGTGAGGTGACAGATTTGATGAGAAGATACCCTAAAAAGGCAACACTCCTCAGACAAATGAGGAGAATACACCAGCTTAATTAACTGGTGAATCTAGCCTGTGAAGGTAATGGGAGAGAGGTTCCAGGACACAGAAGGATTTCATGGGATAAACAAATGGTTACAGGAACCACAGAAGGGAGCAGTGCAAGTGAGATACCATCTGAGGGCTTGGCTGGCCTCAGAAGGTGGTTGGGATCCGATTGGTCATAAATGTGGGAAATGGAAGGTAATGAATTGGGAGAAGAAGTGGAATTACCCTCCCTATCAGCAGAAACTTTTGGGGAAAATGAATGAACAGGGAAGAGGAGAACATAGGAACTGTGGAACAGCACATGGCAAGTGTCAATTGCAAATATTTCAGAATGCTGCCAGCCACAAGCCAATAATGTGAGGTATAGAGATTTTAAGGAAAGGTGATACAGGGACCATGAAGACAAAGATTTGAATGGAGGATGAGTGAGAGCATGAAGGACAAAATTTAGATTCCAACCTGGCAGAGACACAGGGTGGGGAGGATGAGAAAGATAAAACAAAGAAATAACAAAGACAACACAGGAGATTGGAAAACAGAGGCAACGTCAGTAAATCTAAACATGCAAGATAATGCAGCTTCATAGCCAGCAATTGAGGAAAATGACAGTCCCCTTTCATAGAGCCAAGTGAAAATAGGGAAGGTTGTGAGG